CGGCGCAGCAGGTAGGTCTCCGCCCTGGAGCTCACCGAGTGGAACGCAGGGAATGTACACACCACACGCAGCAGGTAGGTCTCCGCCCTGGAGCATGGCGAGCAGGTAGATTCTATTGATCCGGGGTCCGGGGCAGTTGGGGTTGAGGGTCCGAGGGGACCCCAGTTCACCCAGCTCGTGGAAGCTGCAAACAGCCTATGTGCTCTCGAGAGCTGACCCTCTGCGTCTTGTCTGAGTGACCACAGATAGGATGGCTGCGTGGCTCCTTGGTGCTTGAAAGCCCTTGCTAGGGACTGAGCGATGCTGTATGCGGAACTTGAAGCCAGCCACGCTGACTCCTCTCGCCAGGAATCTGGTGACGCCAAAGGGCCTGCCGATTTGTTTCCAGCACCAGGAAGCCCCAGCCCATCTCTGAAAGAGTCAGCAGCTCCGGAAGGCACCCCTGCTGCCCACACCCTGGCCAGGTGCCCTTGTCCAACCACAAACCTGACAACCTCACAACCCAGGAAACACAGGAAGAGAAACCAACTGTCCACACGACCCTTCCCCGGATTGACTCCCCAGGCAGGAACATGTGGGCCACTCCAGGGGACAGATGGACAGGGACGCACAGTGCTCCTTCACCTGGGACTGTGGCTGTGACATTCCTCAACTCAACACCCAAGCCCCGTGGTGTGCACGACTGCAGGCTTCCCTTGGGAATAAACTGTTTCCTCACTTCCATTAACACGCAGTCCTGCTTACTGTACTCAACAGCTTGGAAAATGAATCATCCAGAACCAAACCAGTGGGATTCCGGGAGAAATTGTGGGCGCTTGCTCAGATATCATCAGAAACACTCTCGACTGAGCTGGGGCGGCTGCGCTCTCTGGCAGTGTCTGACCCAGAAGAGCGTCCCCCAAGCCTCCCAGATCTGGCTGGGGATGGAGGGTTCAATCTATAGCTATGCGCGTGGGCCAGTCTGTCCCAGCAACATCTCTCACGTGGCCACTTGGTCTCCACCTGAGGACTTGCTCTCAAGTGTCCGCAGGTCCTCAGTGATGGAGCCTGGCCCTGCACTTCTGGCCTGGTCTGAAGGTACAGGCTGGCCTTTTCTGGGGTGAATGTGAGTCCCAAGTCCGGGAATCACTAAATCCCGCCCAGAACTCAGATCCTGAGGACAAGCAGGCCAGGCAGAGGGGGAGCTCCAGACATGGACCGGAGAGGTGGGGTTTGCAGGTAGGTGAGAAGCACCCTATCTCCAGGGGAGGGTCAGACCAGGTGCCCTGTCCATGTCCACCTACGTCACACTGCCCCCGCATACCACGTGCAGAGGCAGAGGGAGGTTTCCACACATTTTTGAAAACCATGCCTCCCTAACTGCCCCAGCTGTTCTGCACATTTGCAGTTGAGGACTTCTGTGGGCACTGGGTGCTCCTGGGAGGCAGGTGCAGAGGCTGGAGTCTCCCACACTGAGGACACACGGGTCATTTCTCCTTGTGCTTAGCAGCAAAGCCGCGGCACATTGAAAAAGGCTTTCTCTTTTTTTGTTTGTTGAGACAGAGTCTTGCTCTGCGGCCAAGTTGGAGTACCCCTTGGGGTATGTGAGGCTGACACGGGGCAATAAGGGTCCAGGAAAACGAAGAGAAAAGGGCAGTGGCACAATCTCAGCTCATGGCAGCCTCTGCCTCCCAGGCTCAAGCAATCCTCCCGCCTCAGCGTCCCAAGTAGCTGGCGCTACAGGTGCGCGCCACCACGTCCCCTAATTTTTTGCATTTTTAGTGGAGACGGGGTTTAACCACATTGGCCAGGTTGGTCTTGAACTCCTGACCTCAGATGATCCACTCGCCTAGGCCTCCCAAAGTGCTGGGATTACAGGCGTGAGGCACCGTGCCCGGCCTTCTTTTTTTTGTTAAATCAGGATGCACTGTAGAAACTGGGAAGTCAAGATTCTCCTTTCAGCTAAGAAAGAGCTTACTTAGATATGAACCAGGGAGGACTGGGCAGGGAGACCCACCGTCCCCAGAGCAGCCAGGGGGAGGTAAGAAGCCTGAAGACCTGGCCCTCACGGGGGAGGGGCCAAGACAGGGCCAAGGCCTTGGGGTCCATGAGGCTGACCCGAGGCCAGCGTCCAGGAAAGCAGAGAAAAGGGCAGTGTGCTCCGGTCCTCGCTGTTCAGTGGTGATCTGCTAATCACTCAAGAAAAGCAAAATCCGCAAAACCCATATCACATCTTAAAATTAGATAAAATTTTCTTTCTACAACTTCTAGACAGCATGATTTAGTGAGAACAGTCCTGATAATTATTTTTGCTTTAAATAGTTACAGTAGAATATATTAATTTTCAAGATGGCTCTCTGATGAGAGTGACTCATTAGCACTGGGAACTGTCCCCGCCGTGCTCAAGAATGGAAAAGTCTCCCTTTGTGATGAAGGCACCAAACTGCACCAGTGCGAAACACTCCAAGTCTGGGTAATCAAATTAGACGAGAGAGGGGAAAAAACCCAAAAAAACAAACAAAGAACCCCTAAGCCACCACTGTAATGAGCTACCTGTTCATTATTTCATTAAGATTAAGACATGTAAGTGGAAGAAAAAACAACACTCTAATCACGCTCCTCGGGCAAATTCCTATGAACTGACAGACGCTATTTAAGAGGGAAGACGGGAGAGGCAGCCGCAGTTTTTAATTTTAATGTACGGAAAGGAAAGCACCTCCTGTCTGTTTCCAGGAGGCCCCAGGGGCTATGTGCTGGTGGAGTGGCACTCAGGGAGCCTGGCGCAGCCCAGGGAAGGAGGGTCGTGGTGGGTGGGGCAGCTCCACATCCCCCCAGAGAGGAGGGGCGCTCCTTCACTTAGGGAGGTGACCTGAGGCCAGCTGGGTGTGTAGGAGCTGGGTGCTGCTGGTTGTGGGTCATCACTGGAGGGGATGAGGAGGGCAAGTTCCCGGGGATGATCCTGTTTATAAGTGGACTGCCACTACCTCGAGGGGAGGCGCTGGCCATGGCAAAATTAACCCGGATGCTGACAACTCTGACTGCCTTCTCAGGGAACCTGCTGCCCTCACGAGGACCTAGACACATCAGGGCTCACAGGAGGCTTCACAGCTAGGCTCAGGAAACATTTAGCCATCCCCATCCATCCATGCACAGGCCCCCCACCAATCCATCCATCTATCCACCCACCCACCCATCTATCCATTCAAACATCCATTACTATTCAGGCACCATCCACCCATCATCCACTAATCCATCCATCCACCTGTCTACCATCCATTCATCTACCCACCTATCCACCTATCCATCCATCTATCCACTCAGCCATCTATCCACCATTCACCACCCACCCATCCTCCCATGAATCCACTCATCTATCACTGACCCTCCACTAATCCATCCATCCACCTATATATCCATTCAACCTTCCATCTACCATCACCATCCATCCATCCATCATCCATCCTCCCATCCATCAATCCACTCATCCATCACCCACCCTCCACTAATCCATCCATCCACCTATATATGCATTCAACCATCATTCCATTCCACCATCATCATCTATCCATCCATCCATTCATCAATCAATCCATCCGTCCATCCATCCATCTATCCTCCATCTATCCATCTATCCACCTATATATCCATTCAACCATCATTCCATTCCACCATCACCATCTATCCATCCATCCATTCATCAATCAATCCATCCATCCATCATCAATCCATCCATCTATCCATCCATCCATTCATCCATCTATTCATCCATCCTCCAACCATCCACCTACCTGTCCATCATCTAGCCATCCATCATCCATCTGTCCATCCATCCAGCCATCCTTCCTCCATCAATCCTCCATCAATTCATCCATCCATCCACCTGTCTACCATCTATCCATCCCCTGTCCATCTATCCATTCAAAAGTTGATTCACCATCCAATATTCATTCATCTACTTATCTGATTTGGTGAATCAATACTATCCACTTTCTAGCAATCTATCCATTCATCTACCCACCATCCATCCATCCACCTGTCCATCCATCCATCCATTCTTTCCCCCATCCACCCATCCAAACACCTGACCATCATGTACTATGATTTGAAGTCTGTGCCCCTCTGCAGTCATGTTGAGAGCTAACCCCAAGTTATTGTATTAGGAAGTGGGGCCTTTGGGCAGTGATTTATTAGGCCACAAGTGGAGCCCTCGTGAATGAAATTCGTGCCTTATAAAAGGATGAGAGAGGCCCCTCATCCTTTCCAGTACGTGAGGACACAGCCAGAAGGCAGTCGTCTGCAAACCAGAAGACAGTGCTCACCACAACCGACCCTATGCACCTGATCGCAGATTTCCAGCCTCCACAACTGTGAGAAACACATTTCTGTGGTTTCTAAGCCCCCAGTCTATGTACTCCGTTATAGCAGCCCCAGCAGACAAAGGCACACTGAAACCTAGGCTTGTCTGCTTTCCCCTCCTGGGCAGAGACCCCCGGAGCCTCATATGCCATCCTGCCTGCTGCCCACGGCTCA